CGACAGCTACGGCTCCGGCAACAAGAGTAGCGCCTATGGCTCCTCTGCCAACAACAACTCGTCCAGCTTTGGCTCGTCGGGTAACAACAACTCCAGCCGCACTGGTGGATCGGACTCGTACGGTTCTTCCAACAACCGTGACGACGACTACTAAGTGGCTGGGCTCAAGCAAACAGCTGCAGACCCTTTCGTTATGTAACGAGACATATCCTTTCAACGTAATGTAGCTTGGCGGCGGACATATCCCCCGTTCCGGTCTCCAACTGGGGGTAGCTCAAATCTAAATTGAACATTTTGACTGAGATGTATGACGCTGCCAGTCAGTCTTCCGTGGATGCTGTGACACAGGTACTCTCGAGACTGCAATTATAATAGTATAATTCTATTTTTGTAAACCGTTACTTCACGAAAGCTGTTTTTCTATCTTGACTAGAATCACGCCTTTGGTGTACTGGCTCTTGGTATCCCATAGGTGAATGAAGCGGTACCCGCTCGCTAGTTGATCCAGCCGCACGCAAGCCCACGCCGCCAAGTCATCTTTGACAATCTCGTCGTCACAAACTTTGAAACGCAGAAATGTGAGCTCCTCCACAATGTCTGTGATGCCCCGAAATGAGAGGACTTGCCCGTGAAAGTCCACGTCGGCGCCGCCCCGGTGCGACTTGGTGTGCACCTTGTGCTCCCCGTCCCGCTCGTGGCCCTGGTTGGCGAGCGCACGCGGCTTGCCCGTGGCGAGGTCGTGGCTGGGGTTGCCGTCAACGTGCAGCTCCATCTTGACGTACGGGTGAAAGCCGCTGTCGGAGCTGTCGCCAGAGGGCAGAGGGATGTACTGGGCGGCGAAAACGGCGACGGACAGTGACAGGGTTTTGCGGATAATCGTGTTTGGGCATGACTTGGATGCGAGATTCGGGCGGTAACCTGAGTGGCGACGGTTGTTAACGTTCAAAACGTGGTGTGCCAAAACCATGTGGGGGGTTACCTTGTGGTTTAAGGACATAGCCATTAGTGCCCTCAAACATGCCCTGATTAAGCATCATGCCTTCATCCGTCTGTTGCCAGTTGAGGGCGACAATCTGCGCGCCTGAGCCCCAAAATGGAGGCGGATTGAGATTTGAACTTCCAATACGTAAGCCCGATGGATAGGCGCGCATCATATAATCGCGATTGTGCTCAAAAAGTTTGGCACTATTATCCGTATGATGCGTAGTAAACATCTTCTCGGACATTGAAAATATATGGCCCTGCATAGTGGCTTCAGGTTGTGCCCAGGATTTGAAGCTCACAGCGCGTGTGTAGATGCCAAGATCGGACAGCGCACGAATAATCTTGGACGGTTTCTTCTTCTCTGCCGTCTTGACAGGTAACCCGCTGTCAATGCGGCCAAGACCCTCCTCTTCCCCATCCCCACCCTCGCCGTAGCTCCTACCCGCCGGTGCGTACTTGACCTTGACGAGAATCTTGCCGCGCAGGGCGTCTGGGCTGGGCAGCACTGCCGGCCCCTGCTTCTCTGGCGGTGCGACAACGGCCACGTCGCCCCAGGCCTCCTTCATGATGTCGACCATGACGGCCTGTTGCTCGGCATTGCAGTGCACCTCGAGGCTGATGATGAGCGGCAGGTCGCTGGCCTCGAACGCGTGCTTCCGGATGGTGGCGCACACGTCACGAAAGGGCACTTCCTTGGTCAGGGTGTAGCCGTGCAGGACCCGCGGCTCGTGCGTGAGGGAGGATTGCGAGCTGGAGCGCAGCGACGTCACAGACTTGTTGGTATCGGCGAAGTGGTGACTGGCGGTGCGCTCGAGCTTGCGCCGCAGCGGGCTCGTCTTACTGAGCCGTGCCGCGACTGACTCTGGCAGGCTGGACTTCAGTCGGGCGAGCCTATCGGACGTGCCGCGGCACTCATTTCTTTCCAGATGAGCATCACCCTCCTCGTCGGATGAGCTCGCCGAGCTCTCGGCGTCACTGCCGGTGCCGTCCCAGACGTCAATCTCAACGCAGCGGCAGCCGCGCCGCAGCACATTGGCGTAAGCTTCCGTCGTGCTGTCACTGTAGAGCTGATTGCCAGTGAGGTACGTGTTGTGGCTAGACGAGATGAAGTATGCCGATATGGGCCAGGACAGGTCTTGGTCGTTGCGTGGAAGAATGGCCGCGGCGTTGGACGAGGCCATGTAGTCAAGGAAGCCAGCGAGATCCAGGGGAGCCGCGTCGCCGTCGTCACCAAACACTTGCTCGTGCTTCTGCAAATTGCGGATAAAATCGATTGTCTGGGAAGCTGTCCACGTGCATTCGGACTCTGCGTGTGCGGCATAAATGGAGCGGAGATGCTTCATAACATTGGGCTGAAAGCCCTCGACGGTGCGAGTCTCGGGGAAACGCTGCTCTCCCACGTCGGGCGCGTCACTGGAGGGCCGAGGTTCAGGGGTTGGAGCTGACATTTCTGTAGGTTCAGTTGAGGACATAGGAAAGGTACTGTCGGAAGATGAGATAGTTGACTGCCAGTTCGGTGTGTTGAGGTGGGAGAACTGATGAGGAGGTGAATTTAGTGCAAGCTCAAGCAATCAGGTGGAGGCCCCGCTAGGGTGTTTGCCTACCTGTTTTATGCCGTGACCAGGTACGCAAATACCTGGCGATGACGTTTAATTATAAATAAATTATCTGGGAATTGTAGCTATGTACTATCTTGTCATCGAAAATTCTTGAAGAGCGTCGCGAGTACACAGCCTAAAGCTGTATATTGTATATCGACTAGGGCGCGTCGCGGCATAGCTGGCCGTGATGCACACTTACACCAGCACCAGCGTGACACAGTAACACCACTTAGCCGAGAGAGGCATACATGCAAACTGAGCTCTGCATTAAACTCATGACTATTGCTTTGTTTCATGATTGAAACAAGGTTGTAGTTCCAGCGAGAAACTTTCCGAGTTCAGCTGCTCTTCCGAATATTTCATGGACCCTCTGGGGTTGCCTTTTAGTACGGGCTTGGAGACCTGAATGCCATCCGCATCATGATGAATACGATTTCTAGGTTCTATCAAACCGATGCATCCCTCAGGAAGCAGACGACCAGTAGCCAGATGCAGGTCGAATTTGGGCAGAGATTCCCACAGTTTAGGCTTTGTGCTGTTATACTAGGTACCTACCTAGGTAGGTAGGTACCTACCTACCTACCTATGTAGCACTCACTGGCGCCGAACCGCCCGACCAGTCTCCCGCACATCAATTTTAGTCTCGCACATACCTCCTAGGCTCGTACCAAAACCTGAAGCTGCGTTCCGGCCGGGAGACTTCACTAAATGCACTGCTGGGAGACCCTGCAGCTCCCACGCAGCGCTCAGCGTCGACACCAATCTTGCAGCTATTCTGCATTGAAAGACATCGTTGCCTCCTCTGCTGTGCAGCGACCGGGGTTCAACGTTTTGGTATCGCATGCAGGCAGTCACGTATCGTGAGTAGTAGTAGGCGAGATGATACATTCAGATGATAGCATACCATTCGTAGGTGGTGTATACTTTTTAGCTTGAATGGTGATAGACAAATGACCCCTTTTATCGGGATAACTACATGGCCCAGGCGATTACATTGCGACAACGGTCATTGACATTCCCGGAAAATAAGGCAGTGATTCTTTACATCTCTCCTCTCTCCAGAGATACGGCATACGGCACCTGTTTAGACGATTGCGCGATCGGACGCGGCTTGGCGTTGGGATGGTTCCACTCTGCTCAAGATTGGCAAAAGTAATCCTCGGTATCCCGAACGCAATACTTGTTGGCGTTTTAACTCTGCAATTTGACGGGCTTCAAGCGGCGTCGTACGTTAGCTGATCGTAAGACTTGTCTTTCCGGTGACCGGCCCGTCTCCCCGGATGCCGCGGAATGACTGCAGAAAAAAAAGGCGCGAGCGAATTCTTCCGCGGCTCAAAACCCTCCAATCTACCCTCGCCCTGAGTATTTTCTTATTTCGCATTTCTTATTTGCACATCTTCTGCCTCTCTTTTGTCGTCAGTCTGCCGCGTCGGCCAGAAGGACAATGACTGAAAGTGATGAACCCCAAAGCCCTATTGCGCCCGATGCTGGTGACGACAAGACGGTTCCCGAGGGACCTCGCCAACGCAAGCTGCCCGCCTTTCTGGACCACTTCAACAAGCGCGACCTCAAGGTAGTCTTCCGCTGCTGGATCGCCACCTGGGCCGCGACGCTCCTCATCTTCATCCAGCCGTCGCTCGACAAGATCGGCATCGCCACCTTCTTCGCCGCTCTCACGCTCTACATTGCCCCTCCCGCCACCATCCTGCTGCCGTACCTGCTCTCCGTCGCGTCCGCCCTCGTCGGCATGTGCCTGGCCTGGGCGTGGAGCCTTCTCACTATGAAGGCGGCCCTGGCGGCGCGGCCCGCGTCCGACACCAGCGCCCGGCTCGCGGCCCTCGAGCAGGCCGCCGCGCAGAGGGCCAGCCAGTCGGGCACGCTCCCCGCAGACGAGGCCAAGATTTTGGTCCTCGATGGCTTCATGCTGGATGCGCGCGTCACCGCCGTCTACTATGTCATGATTTGCGTCTTCATCTACGCCCTGGCGCGCCTGCGCCTGACAAACCCGAAGCTCAGCTTCATGCAGATTTTTGGCACCATCATCTCCGACATCTTCTTGCTCAATGCGCCGGGCCTGCCGTACTTTGATGGCGGCATTGCGAGCGTCCTCGTCAAGCCCGGGACCATTGGCGTTGGTCTCGGCGCCGCTTCCTGCGTCTTGTTCTTTCCCCAGTCTACCTCGAATGCCATCATGCTTAAAATGGAGACTCTGCTTGCCACGTTCAACGCGTCGATCGCGGTTACCAACAAGCGCTTGCGTAGCGAATACGTCGACCTGGCAGGCCTCAATGCGGGCCGCGCACAGTCCATTGGCGTATGGAAAGCCATGCAGCCGCTGATGTCACTCCTTCCTCTCGACATTTCTCGCTGTTGTTGGAGTGCTGACGATCTTGTGGAATTGCACAAGGCCCTCCAGCAAACGATGCGCAAGAGCGTGGCGCTGATGGACTTGCATATTGCGGCACTCTCTGCTGCTGACCAAGATCAGATGCTGAGGCTTTATCGGGAGGAGCAGGCCGAAGATGCGACGGTAAATAACGGTACAGTTCGTCCAGGCCATCATCATTTGCACGAGCTGGCAACAATCATGAGTGCCTTGCATGGAACGGACTACAGTGCCCTCCCAGAGGGCACCGCGGCGCTCTGGGACAGCCCGTCGCGGCTGCTCACAACGTGTGCTGAGTCTATTGACCTTGGCGTTGGTTGTATTCACGAAATCAATAGCTGCCGATGGATTAAAAAGCTGCACAAGGAGACGGCGAGTAGTTTCGTGAGCGAGTTGCAAGGCAAGTCGGAGGAGCTGCGCCTTCTCCGAGAACGCTGCGCTGCAGACACACCTGAAGCCCTGATACCGAACTGTGAGAGTCTTTTTGACGATGGTGGCTACCTTCGGAGCGATGGTGGTGAGCCAAGCGATCCGATGCCCCTTCGCGACATTACAACTATTCTAGCACTTAACCAGCACATAATCGACTTTTCTGTCGCGCTTGGGGCGTCAATCGACCAATTGGCCTTTCTTATACGCAAAAGGCCGGAGAGCCGCACATGGATGCCCATTACCATACAACATGCCGTGACCTGGCTTATCACCCCAAAATCGTCCGACCAAGCGTTGGGAAGCGGTTTCGCCACGGACCACAGCCCAAGCTTGACCGAGGCAAAAACTGTCGTAACCAGACGTGCAAGTAATCTCAAAAACCTCAAGAATGTCGGTGACCTCCGGCGAAACGGCATGCCAAAATCCCGCTCCAGCAAAATCATCATCACGATGTACAGGTGGCTGACGAACCCTGCTGGTATGTATGCGGCACGCTTGGTAATTGTCACCGTTGTCACGTCTATTCCCTCGGCGATACCTCACAGCGCCGGCTTCTTTTATCGCGAAAAGGGCATCTGGGCTGTCATTACCGCCCAGCTGACACTTCTCCCCTTCATGGCCGACTTTGTCGTCTCCATTGTGTCGCGTGCGCTCGGCACTGTGGCCGGCGGCGCTTTGGGCATGCTCGCTTGGTACGTGGGCTCCGGATCCGGAGCTGGTAACCCCTACGGTTTGGGGGCTACCACGGCCGTGATGACGGTGATTCTCGTATGGCTGCGCATCTGGGGCCCCCATATGCTTACCGTTGCAAGCATCATGTGCGGCGCAACGTTTGTGCTAGTCATCGGCTTCAGTTATGACAACCACCACATCTATCAATACGGACTCCCGGGACAGGGCTATGAGGCGTTTTGGAAACGTGTCGTCACCGTTTTCATCGGGCTTCTCGCTGCTGCTATCGTGCACATTTTCCCCAAACCCACGTCGGCCACGAGCCACGTTTGTCACGTCTTGGGCAAGTCAGTGCGCCGCATGTCTGATCAGTACGCCATCTTGCTTGTGTCTCAAAAACGGCCCGCCGAAAATAGAAGCCTCTGTGCCCTTGCTGAGCGTGACTCGCTTGATCTTGGACACTCGCTGTCTCTCCTGGGTCCTTCCATTAATTTAGTCAAAGCTGAGATGAGCTTTGGCCCATTTGATCAGAAGACGTTGCAAAAAGCTCTCGAGGAATGCCACAATCTAAACCGTTCCCTCAGCCGGCTCCTGAGCATCGCCCATAGTCTACCGCCAGACTTGAAATACCGGTTCGAAACCGTCAGCGGCCTGGTTGACGATCATGTTATTGGCGACATCATGGCTGTTCTTCATATCATCCAGCAATCATTCGAGAACGGAGATCCGCTGCCTGAAAGGCTTCCCACCCCGCTCACTCGAACGTTTTATCATGCATGGGAGCAGAAGAAGCAAGCTGTTGTCAATAAGGCGCACCTGCGGGACGAAAGCTATCCTCAGTACTGTATTGCGATATCCTCGTATATCAAATTCCTATCCACTGTCGACAATCTTGTCCTCATTCTCACGGAAACACTAGGAGAGTCTCATATTTTGTTCGGCTGGGGGCTGGAGAACCTGGTATAGCGTGAGTCGACATCAGTTGAAGGTCGCTGTGGAAGTCTTACAGCGCGCGTTCACACTTGATTTGCATAAATTCGGTGGTCCAGCACAGTACGAAGGCGGCGAGCTACACAGGAGCCCTGACGGCCAAAATATTGGTACCACTGCTTGTCGGCTACCTGATACAGGTACGTACCCAAGTACCACCAGATCCAACGGGGCCAGCTGGCAGCGAGCCCGCTGTCCACTGTGCCTGTAGAGCAAGGACCGGTAAGCCAACCATCTGTGAACAAAAACATCATAATTGGGTTAACTCCCTTTATCGCGCGCAATAATTAAATAGAATAACTAGAGAGTTTGAGTACCAGTACAAAAAGGAAACTTGCGGCCAGTGTGACTCGAACACACGACCTTCAGATAGGTATCTAAATCCGTAGGATTGAAGTTGGACTTCAGTCTGACGATCTCCCAGCTAATCTATGGCCGCGAGTTGTATCCGCAGCGCCAAGTAAAATCTCTTATAAAGCGGCTGGCAACCGCTATTGAGAAGAGATTGGACCGACTGTCTGCCGAGCCGGATCCAAGGGGCGAACCGACGCCACCACCCGCGTGTTGAAAGCTACTTACAACCAGTTACTTGACCCTAAGAGCGGTGTCTTTTAGATTTACATTTGCAGGCGTTGGGGATACCATGTATCTTTCACTTATTGTAGTAGGCCTCGGCAGGTACCTTCCTGCGCGGGCTTCCATTAGCGATGAATATGAATGCCGCAAATGTCGAACAAATAATCAGTCTCACCGAAATAACTTTACTTAGCTACAACTGGGAGCTTGGTGGTGGTAGGCTAGTAAGATTGCACAATATCACGACAGGTGAGACAGCCACGGCTGAGATGGACATGCGGCAGTCAACTTGCCAGACTCTTCTGCGGTGCTCTTGTTATTCACCAAGTCAAGTCGTATAAATTAACCAGGTGGGCCAATTTCCCGTTGCCTGTGGATATGATAGATAACTTAGGACCTGAATTAAATTTCTAATACCGCTTAGAAAAGGCTCATGCACATAGGCATGCGCGCGGGGTTGATCCACCTCGACAATGTGCCGCAACTTGACCTAATAGGGACGAGCCAATTGCCGTTGACACCACGGACAAATATAAATGGAGTAATCATCTGTTCTTCTATTCGATGGATCCTCGGGTAGCTAAATGGTCCCGACATCGGTTGCGACGTATAAAGCAGCGGGAGCTGTCAGTGCGCGACTTTCCGACTTCACCCTCTACAATATTTCGTCCACGAAACCATAATCAAACACCACAATAAGCTTCCGGTACGGACCAGGCGATCCGCGCAAGAATCTCTCGCTATGGAGCTATCCCAAGATCAAGGTAACGTATACTGGAATGCAACCGGGTGTTCAATGTGTCGCCCGGCGCGGCAGCTTCGGCACTCTGACAGGTGTCAAGCTGCGGTACCGTGTGACGCATTGATCTGAGAAATACCGGCGAACTTGATCTGGATAATACCAGCGAAAGGATCTGCATCTGATATGCCCCCCACCTGTCGCGTCGTGTTTCTAACGACCGCAGCATATCGCTCCAATATTTATCCAACATGTCTACTGACAAGATCACGTTCTTGACCAACTGGTCAGCAGAAGCAAACACTATCTAAGCATGGTGTAGTTACTGACGATAGGATAGGCATGCCACGCCCTACCATGCCCCGCTCTACTTGGCACAGAGCAAAGGTTTCTTCACTGCTGAAGGCATCAAAGTCGCGCTTCTAGAGCCCAACGACCCGAGTGTGAGAACCCTGCAGCCCAAGACCAGCCAGCAACATTGTGCTAACCAAATCAGGATGTTACCGAAATCATCGGCTCCGGTAGCGTGAACATGGGATTCAAGGCCATGATCCACACCCTTGCTGTTCGTCATACAACCCCGATCTGGGACGCTGAAACCTGCGGTCTAATATGAGATGTAGGCCAAGGCTCGCAACTTTCCCGTCACGTCCATTGGAAGTCTTCTCGACGAACCCTTTACTGGTGTTGTCTATCTGAAGGAATCCGGCATCACCACCGACTTCCGCTCCCTACAGGGCAAACGTATCGGCTACGTCGGTGAATTTGGCAAGATCCAAATTGACGAGCTCACCTCGCACTACGGTCTGACCCCCGAGGACTACACGGCCGTCCGCTGTGGTATGAACGTGTCCAAGGCCATCAAGAACGGCGAGATTGACGCCGGCATCGGCCTGGAGAATGTGCAAATGGTCGAGCTGGAGGAGTGGCTGGAGAGCCAAGGCCGGCCCAAGTCGGACGTGCAGATGCTCCGCATCGATGAGCTGGCAGAGCTGGGCTGCTGCTGCTTCTGCTCCATTTTGTACATTTCCAACGACGATTTCCTGGCCCAACATCCCGACCAGGTGCGGGCGTTCCTCCGCGCCGTCAAGCGCGCCACCGACTTTGTCCTGAGCGAGCCAGAAGCGGCCTGGGCCGAGTACGTTGACTTCAAGCCCGTCATGGGCACGCCGTTGAACCGCAAGATCTTTGAGCGCAGTTACGCGTACCTTTCCAGCGACCTGCAGAATGTCAAGCGCGATTGGACCAAGGTGACCAAGTATGGTCAGCGGCTTGGTGTCCTGGGTGCCGATTTCGTCCCCAACTACACCAACGCACACCTCGAGTGGGTTCTGGACGAGACTTCGGAGGACCCTATGGGTGACCAGAAACGCATGGTAGAGCTTCAGTGCGACGTGGCTTGCCGTGGTGGTTTCCAACGACTTCCCCGTCCTGCCGCTGCTTAAATATGGTGTCCGACCATTCAACAGCTTCAAGAAGATGAAGGAATAACTCAACATCTTATTTCAACACAATGACAGCTTTCTAAGAGATTTTCAACCTATTACTCTGATATTTTTCCTAAGTTAGACTTTAAAGAGTACTTTTTCCGCCAACGAACCTGCCATTATTATGTGGCCCATGGAAAAGAACCCGCACCCCAGCGGTGTATTCAGCCCACGGTCAGAACAAAGAATCAATCCTCTTTGTGCCTTTCATTCGCGTGCTCTGCTTCTGTGTTTCCCATAACTTCTGCATGCATCGCATCAACACTGTATTTTCTTGCCTGAAACGAAGACACACTTCAAGAACACGCCAGACGATTGCTTGGCGCTCCTCTACCATGTATGCTTCTGTCACTGTTCTCTCCACTGTCGCGCTTGCGTTAGTAGCACACCGCATTTCTGACTTTTTGAGCGCAAACAGGACCCCGGAATCGCCTCCCCAGAAGCTGGACCTTGTCCTAGATCGACTTGCCTCCCTAGAAAAACAAATCGAGGAGCTTCGATCCATTGGCGGCAACGCAGGGCTTTCCATCGGAGTAGCCCACGCTGGCACCAGCATCTTCGAGAAACACTTTGGTTTCCGAAATGTCAGCTCCGCCACGCCCCCAGATAGCCAGACCGTCCAACATATTGGTTCTATGACCAAGGCCTTTGTCGCCGCTGCGGTCGCGTCTTTGGTAGATGAAGGCAAGCTGTCCTGGGAAACACCCCTCGGCCAGAGCGGTGTCGTCCCGCTCTTCTCCGAGTCCAACACGGAGCCTGAGAACAAGTCTCTGCCGCAGGTGACACTAGTAGATCTTCTGGCGCACCGGCTCGGTGTTGCTATGAAGCAAAGCTACTGGCATCTGATGTCTACCGCTCTTCTCTCCCAAAAGGCCAACACAGCCCACATCGTCTCCAAGTTGCCTCCTGTAGCCGAGTTTCGGTCCAAAATGTCGTACAACAATTGGGGATACGCCCTGGCGGGAGAAATCATCGAACATGTATCCGGCCAGGACCTTGGCCAGTTTTTAGCCCAGCGCTTCTTTCAACCTCTGGGTTTGGAGAACACAACACTCGGCAAGCCCTCGAGCGAAAATTATGCTGCATCCTACATGGCACTCAGCGACGGAACTCCCTTCCAGGTGGAACACCCGCCGCTCAACTCTGGTACCCTCATGGCCCCCGCAGGTGCCATGAAGTCTACCATGAGCGACATGCTTGTCCTTTATAGCGCTTTTCTCAAGGCTTTCCAGGACCAGTCGCTTTCCGATGCTACATCGAAGCCCACCTCACCCTTTCGCCAAGCTACGGCTTTATTTGCAAAGCATTCCACCATACAGCCAGGTTCGGCGTATGGCATGGGCTGGTGCTTGACCGAGCTACCTGATCAGGCGGGATTGGTTGGTGTTAATTCATATGAATCCCCAGATGGTATGCCAGTGATTGGCAAGGATACCAAACCACAGCGCCTCTTTTATCACAACGGTGCAATGTGCGGGGCCCTGAGCGCCATTTATCTTCTCCCCGATAGTGACTTCGTCGTCGTTGTCCTCGGAAATTCTTTCGATCTTTATGACACTCCCGATTTTACAGCTCAGCTTCTAGTCGAGTCAATCATTGGAGCTCCGAATCCTGTTGACTTCATACCTATTGCCAAGAAAACAGTTGCCAATGCATTGTCACACCACCCGGATATGAATGCACAGCTGGAGAGGGAGCGCACTCACGGAACCAGTCCAAAGCCCCTGTCCGACTATACCGGGTACTACACCTCTGCAGAGGGTAACGACTACGGCTTTCAAATTACAGTTTTAGGGGACAAGCTTCGCGTCAACGTCCAGGGGATTGTGGACGTCTTCTATGACCTGGAGCATTATGAGCACGACGTCTTCGTCTTCTACTGTGACAGAGATGCCGAATCGAAGATAATGATTTATCCAAATGCTTCAATCATGTTGCACAAGTTCTTCTTCAAGGTTGATAAGCAGGGGAGGGTTATGTATGTGCGCTGGGCTCATGACTTCACCTACCCATCCGGGGAGCTTTTTAAGAAAGGACGTGCTTAGAACACTAGAGTCTATAGTGCCGATAATTAGTATCCCTTTAGTCTTAGTCTAATAAATACTATTATATAGTATAATATATCTAAGGAAATTAGTTATATAGTATAATTAGGAGAAATATACTATAGAGAAACCTAATTACCTAAGACTAAATAAGGCAACCTTTATAGTATACTTATAAAAATTAAGATTAAAATCTCAGTATATTATTAACAAATTAAGTCTACTAGTAAAAACATCGCGTTTCCTGTAATTTACCGGTCTTAGCATCGATTGCCTAGTAGTAAGAGTTAGACAGCTAGCCTTCAAATTAGGTGGAAGGTCGCAAACATACCAATAGTACTGCAAAACCTGCCATCTGCTCCGCCTCATCTTGGAATTCCATTTCCGTCCATTCATCACACGTCCTTCGATCAACCACCTTCGAATTATCGAAGTCCAGCCAGAACACTCTATCCTTAGGCTTTCCCTGAACAACCATCATATTTCTTGGGTATGGGTCGCCGTGAAGGAGGCCAGCCTGGTGAAACTCGGCAAGAATTGTAGACAGCCTATCAACATTATCTTGTGAAAAGTTGTCTAGGTAAATCATGCTAGCATCCGGGATATATTCCATAAGAACGGCATTAGGCCGCCATTTGTGATCTTGAAATGCTGACAACTCTGGCCAGAGCTGTACATTTATCTGCTGAATGACTCCGTAGAAATTTGGCACAAGGCCGCGCTTACAAAAGCCTTTTTCTTTAAGCAGTCGATATGCGCTATATTCAATCGAAAAATAGTCCGGTAGCCATTCGTCGTCCTTGAACTGAGTAAGTGTTAGCGTGCTGTGAATAGATGCTGTATATGGTTCTACAGACCACTTTCATGACGCAAAGTTTTCCACGGATATTAACTTTAAACGTAATCACAAGATTGTTGTCGTTTTGTTTGCCAATCTTCGTCGACAGCGTATCGAGAAACTCGACTTCAGAAGGCTGCACGTTGACCAGTTCATGTTTCGAATCGTCTTCGGATGGCACAGAAGATGATGGAGAGGATGGCGGAGTGGATAGTGCAGATGTCGTGGGTAGCGACGACATATTGGACTTAAATGCTGCAGTCTGTTATCGGGAATTGATGTTGGGATGCGGGCGTTGATGATGAAGAAAGGAAATTGGAGGAGATGGAGATGCAGAGAATAGAGGTGGAGTATGGAGGCTAAGCGACAAAGAAGCGGGGAGGAAGGGGCGAAAGTTTGGTAACATAACAGAGACGAAACAGTCCACAATACATAAATACGTCATTTCAAGGGTACTTATATTTCTATATGAATGCTAACTAAAATAATATAAACCTTACTCCCAATGAAATTATACTATCTATGATGTAGCAGCCCCAGGGGCAGGGGCGACCCTTCGCTGGCTGATTAGTTCGCTGTCTGCTGGGTCACCTGGCTGCGCGTCAAGGTTCCAGTCATCATCATGAGAAGACAGCATTCCCAGATACCAAAGAGCAAGCAGAACGGTCATTCTCGGTTCTCCGTTCGATGGTCCAGCCCACGGCACCGGCTTTGACACGGAGATGGTGCGCTGCGCATCCTCCTTGCGAAAGGCTATCAGCTCCTTGTCTGTGAGCATGTAGCCGTACTTGGCGCCCGAGTGCTGCGCCCGATATCCTTGCTGCAACATGTAAAAGGTGAGCTGCGATAGGCGCTTAATGCCCACTCGACGACGTTCGCTGTGTGGCGCGAGCCAGGCCGCATCCCACTTCCACGATGGCTTGATTTCGCCTGGCAGACGGTTGACGGATACGTCAACGCTGGGGTTATACATAGCCCGGTCCGGCACAAACTTTCCAATAAGAGCTGTCGAGCTTCCAGCGCCTAAGGTAATCGCAGTGCGGCCTACCCACTCGTTACTAGGATTTGCAGCAATATATGTAAACGTCCTGGCTAAGGCGCGGCGAACAGGACGGTCGGCATATACGCATACTAGTTCCCGTAGGTAGTCCTCGGCCGCGAAGCGTAGAGGGGGCGTGATCGGGCGCGCATCAGTTCCAACCCGAACGTTGTCGAGTAAGTCGCGAAACTGGTTCATAATGGTGCCTAGGTTGAACTCATCCCACGTATGGATATTGGTAACCCGAGTGATATCGAATCTCTCATGATAAGTGCTTGTATTGGCCTGGTTGCGATCGTAATATTGAAACGCAGCCGGGTCGGTCTGTAAAAACTCCATGAGGGTAATGTTGGCCATGTTGGGTTCGATTAGTGTGTTTTGTCGTTTGCCTTGTATTCAGCACTCCTATGCTTTTGTGTTAGTCGATTCTTCTTTCTATGCGACTACTATCTTCTGGATTGCCCTTACTGTTGATTTGTCTTTAGCCTTAGCTGTTATGTTAGACTATATTAGGGGAAGGAAATGATGCGGGGAATATTAGGAGGCCGTAGGTGATGACAGGCGGCTCGGAAGCCGGAAGAACGATCTCCCATCACCCAGTATATCTAGCACTTACCCGTACCATACAACCAGATAAGATACACAATATAACAACTTCACCTCTTACCCTATATATACCCTATTAGTCTTAATAATATATACCCTATTAGTCTTAATAGTAGGTTTAATAATAGGTAGCATAGAAGCTAGAAGGATAATCTTCTACTTATACCTAAATACTAGGTTTTTATTCTAATAAGTATTCTAAGTTACTTATATATTTTTTTAGCTTAGCTTTTATTTTATATATTAATAATAAAACCTATTTATTATTTTATAATTTTTATAATATAATAGTTTTATATTAAAAAGTATTATATATTAGTATATAAGTATTAATTTAAATTTAATTAAAAGTAATTTTTTTTTATATATTTTTCTTATTTTTCTTATTTTTTTAATTTTTTTTAATTTTTTTTAATTTTTTTTAATTTTTTTTAATTTTCTTTAATTTTCTTATTTTTCTTATTTTTCTTATTTTTTTTTTATTTTTTTTATTAATAAATAAACTTAAAGTTATTTATTAGTAAATAAACCTAAGTTAAGCTAAAATTATTCTCTATATACTATCTTTATTTTTTTAAACTAAGCCTATTAGTTATAAAGTTATTTTAATATAGTATTATATATATATTTAGTTATTTTAATATTTAATTAATTTTTATTTATATTTAAAATAGTCTTTAAAGTATAATTAATTAATAGTTAATTATAATAAATTAATACTAGATTATTAACTTATAAAATATATACTTAAGGTTTAATATTAGTAATTACTTCTTTTTATACTATAAAATCTTATATTTAAAGTTTAATATTAATAATTATTTCTTTTTATACTATAGAATTTTATATAATATAAATATTTAAGTTAGAAGCTATCTTTACTATAGTTTATTACTATTAGTATTAATAGTAGGATTATAAGTAGAGTTATTCTTACTTTTAATACTCTTTTTACTCTTTTTTTATAAGTCTTAGTTTATAATAACCTATTACTTTTAAAGTTTAGTTTAGGTAATAGTTATTTTATAGAATTTTATAAATAGTATCTTTATTATTCTTTAGTAAAAGTATTACTTAAGGGTTATTAATATTAAAAGTACTATTATTATTATTTAAAGTTATATTAGATATTAATTTAGCTTTTAAGAAGATTAACTAAAGCCTTTAAAAGTCTTTATATTTTACCTAAATATTATTAATTATAAATAGCTATCTTAAGAAGTTTATTTAGAGCTTATTAATAATTAATTAGAATATTAGTTTAAGTAATTAAACCTTTATAGTATTAAGAAAGTTATTATACCTTATCTTTAATAATAAAGGGAATAGGTATATTACTTTTAAACTTCTTTATTATAAAACTATTTATTTTAAGTATAGTATAGCTATTAAAGGTAATATTTTAATAATAATAACTATAGAATTATATAAAGAATATATATAAAAAAAGCCTAATTAAATAACCTTTAATAAAAGTAATAAGTAAATTTCCCTTACTATAGATAGTAGAATTAGGGTAGATTTAGGCTAATATAGAGTAGAATAGTATACTAGTAATCTCTCTACTATATAGGCTAATAAAATATACTAAGTAACTAAGTTATAAAGTTAGGAAAAAAACTTAGCATCTAGGTACCTACTAGGAGGGGGCTATTTTCTAATATAGGCTAGTCTATATTTTAGGGGGCTAATATGTCTTGTACTGGCTGGCTAATATAGTGTATAGCACGATAGACTTTTAGAAGGGTATATAGTTAATCCTAAAATACTAATATAAATTAATATAGTATAATTTTTTTAATATACTTTAAATATAGTAATATATATTAATAGTATATAAAAAATATACTACTTATATTATTTATTAAGAATACTATATAATATCTTATAAATACTTTTTTTTAGCTATATTATTTTTTTAAGATAGTATTATAACTTTATAATCTTTTAAATATAATAAAAGCTTTTAATTTTATATTAATATTTTATTTCTATAGTATTATATAATAAATAGACTTTAAATACTTATAATATTATTAGTAGGCTTAATATATATTTAGAGTATAACCTATTTCTTTTAGAAAAGATACCTCTAGTAATAGAATAGGGGGGGGGATCTAGTATATAAATACTAACCTAGCTTTACTAACCTAGGTATATAACTAGCCTTACTTAGGTAGGAGGTAGGTACTAGGTATCTAGTAGAAATTTAATTTATAGTTTAAATTAGGCTAATAAAAGTAGTAAAGCTTAATAATTATTAATATATAGTAAAGTAAAGGTATTAAAGCCTATTCTATTCTAGGTATTACTATAAGCTATCTAGTAAGTAGGACTTACTATATATTACTAGAATACTAAATACTACTACTATCTATATTATATACCCTTTAAAATACCTTCTTATATAGCTCCTAGCTTCTTAAAGTTTTTAATATATAAAAAACCTAATATTATAACTATTTATAAGTTATATATTATAAAAAGAAATTATAGTAAAAAAACCTAAAGATAAAACTATATAACTAATTCTTTATTATAAGAAAAACCTTCTATTACTTAAGCTAAAATATAAATAAAAATAGTTAAATAAAAGCTATTAGTAAAATTTACTTTAATATAAATATATTAAAAATAAACCTACTTATACTTAGGCTAAATCCTATTATTTATTTAGATACTTAGTAAGCTCTAAGCTTACTAATAGGTTCTCTTTATAAATATTAAAATTAAGGTAAGAAAAAAAATATAGCCTTTCTTTAAAGTCTTAATTTATTATAATATATTATAATAAAGACCTTAATAACTAAATCCTAAGCTCTTAAGGTAAGACCTAGTAGTATTTAAGAATAAAGGGATATTACTACTAAGTAAAGGATTAACTAGTACTAATATAGAGATATAATATTAAAGAATAGAATAAATATAAATTAAATCTTAAATTCTATAATACCTTTATTATATTAGTAGCTAGAAGAGGTAGGTTAGATAGGATTAAGAAGAGTAATACTTCTAAATAGTAATAAAGGAGGTAAGACTAGTATAATCTATTCTACTTCTAGTTTACTAGTAATAAATAATATAGTAGAATTATTAATAGGTCTAGAAGAGGTAGGTTTTAACTCTTCTAATACTTTATTATCTTCCTTAGTAATAGGAGCTACCTAATATTACTTATAAGTAATAAGTATCTACTTTATAGTAGTAGTAGCCTTCTTCCTAGGAGTAGTAGGAGTCTTAAGAGTAATAAGCTTTCTTTTTAAGGTAATAGGCTTCTTTTTAAAGATAGGGTATTTAAGCTTATAAGTAAGACTACCTAAGGTTAAGGTAGTAGGCTTAGGTATATTACCTAAGAGCTTATTATCCCTAAAATTATCTATATTATACTTTTTAATTATACTATACTTAATATCTAAGTTTTCTTTAACTAGGATAGTCTTCTTTTTCTTTATACCTATAGTATATATTAGTAAAAAGATTAAGTATAAGTATACTTTCTTATATAGAATAGACTTACTACTTTTTACTTAGATCTATAGGTAGTATACTCCTTTTAAATAAAGCTATATTTATTAATATTAGGCTTATAATAGTCTTTAATATAGTTAGAATTAAATACTAGAGTTCTTTTCCTTAATATTCTATAACTAGAGTTTACTAGAAATAAAAACTTAAAATTATTAAGTATTATTAAGCCTATTATAAAGGTATAAATTCTAAGTATAATATTAAGATACTTAGTTATAAATATATTCTAAATTAAGCTAAGCTAAGATTTATCTTTATTCTTAATTTATAGAGTATAGAGAAAATTTATAGTAGTTAGATAGACCTTTAAATCCTTTAGGCTTAAAAGGCTTATATTCTAAAAAGTATAATATAATAGGTTATTAGAGTTATAGTTAGTAGATTTCTTAGGAATAATAGTAAGAAGATTTATTTACTTTATTTTCTTTATAGCTTTAAATATAATAACTTTAGTTATTAATAGACTAGTAATAGGCTTAGTAGCTTAAGATAACTTAAGGGTATTTATACTAATTATTACTATAAGAAATAAAGGCTTTTTACTAGCTTTATACTTATACTTAAAAAATAAGATAGGATAGTAATAAATTAAAAAGATATAGTAAAATAGGTAGTAAGAAGCTTAAGATTATCCTCTTATAAAGAAATAATAATATAGAAAGGAGGTATTAAAGAAGAGAGAGAAGAAGCTAATAGGAAAGGAAATAGGAATAAGGGTAGCTATATTTATTTACTAAGTATAATACTAGTATTATACTATTTAAAGAATATAAATAGCCTTAAATAAAAATCTTAATATAGAGGGGTTAAACTTATACTATAAATACTATATATATATAGCTATTAATATAATCTTAGCTATTAATAATAGTAGCTAAACTATACTAGTAGTTAGGGTAAAGGATTAGAAAAAATAGGGTTTTTTTAAACTAAAGTTATCTACTAGTAGATAAACTTAAAGTTATCTACTAGTAAATAAGCCTAAGTTAAGTTAAAGTTATTTACTAGTAAATAAACTTAGGTATTAAAGTTAAAGTTATTTACTAGTAAATAAGCTTAAGTTAAGCTAAAGTTATCTACTAGTAAATAAACTTAGGTATTAAAGCTAAAGTTATTTACTAATAAATAAACTTA